GAAGGGCATTGCTGGGTTGAGGGGGACAATTCAGCTTCCAGCTTGGATTCAAGATCTTTTGGCCCAGTATGTTTCTAAACGTATGCCTACATGATATGGATAGCCACATTTCTGTGCACACACATGCATACACACTCAAAAACACTCTTATAGTAAACAATAGAGACATTATATGGTTAGATTCTATTAGTATGTCGGAGACTTGTTGTGAAATAAATGTATTTCATAAGAGCTACTTGAATAGAGTAGAATATTGTATATATTCAACTTAATTCAACAAAGCCTTATCTGGAATATTAGGGACTGGCTACAAAAGTTTCCACTCTACCAAGGGCCATATCCATGGTTAAAATTTGAGCCATTAGTAACTTTAAAGTTTAAACTACCTCAAACAGTAGTTAAACTTTGAGCCATCAGTAGCTTTGCACTACCTCAAACATATGATTTTGCTCTTATGGGTCTTTCAACTTGCATCAGATCACTTAAGAATAATATGTGTGTATGTATGTGTTTAAGTAGAAGCACATGTTGGTTTTGTCAAACAAACTGGAGGCACTTTTTTCCAAGTCCATTAAAATTGCAAGTCCATGATCTTTTGTTATCACTTGTCAAATAATGCTCTAGTTGGCTATCCAATTTTCTATACACAAGAAAGTTGTATGGGAACGGCTTTAGTTACATATGTGGAAAAATTAAAAAAAAAAACTGTAATATATTATGTTTAATAACAGTGAAGAAAGATAACAATTATCCACTAAATTGTGTAAGATCAGTAAAGTAGAGAGAATAAAAAACTAGATCAATTTAGGCTACGTTTAGTTTGACAGAAATATGTGAGAAACAGAAAGTTGAGGGAAAGTTCTTAACAAATTTTGTAAAATTCCTTGAGAACTTTCTGTTTCTCTACTATTTTGTATCAAACAAGAAAGCAGCCTTAATGTTTCAACTAGATCTTAGAGAGGGAATAAAGGGCTTATAGATGGAAGTGCCAACACTTATCTGACACTTTTTTTTTCTTTTGATTGGCTATCCTTGTCACACACGCACACACACACAGACAGTTGCTGGCTATTCTACATTCTACAAAATCTTTTTTGCTTGTTTGCTACAGAAAGATAAGTTGGTTTTCTGTTTCTGCTATTTCATGCCAGTCTTATGTTGCAAAAAGGTGAAGTAGTTGCATCTTCATACTGGAGCCCTACTAATTCAGAGTTGCTTCTTTTGGGCAGGTTCCTCTGGGCCTGGTTCAAGGGAGGGTTACCCATATAGTCTGGCCTCCGCAGAGAGTGGGTCAAGTGAGGAGAAGCATTCCAGAAGGAAGATTTTCTCTGTGATACTTATATGCATCAATGCATGTGAAAGCGTGGGATGACAAGTTCATTTTTCTCATGGCCCTTCATGAACTAATAATCCTTCAATTGGATGGATGAGTTTGCCGTGCAATTTGGTGTTAACAATGTGTGCTCCATGTTTTCACAACACCTGAACACCACCTTACATGCTTTAGCAGGCCAATTCTGTAACTTTGCTTTGACAATTCTTTCTGATAATTTTTAGCACATTCCTTGGATATTTGGTATTGATTTCTTATCCTCTCATGGTGGCTAAGAATATACTGATAAAGGAGCTCAACAAAGTTTTGTCTTGGGAATCTTTTTGGCCCCTGCAGGATCATGAACATGCAGCCAGACGAAGTTGGGTGATGTGATGAGCATTGTTATTTTCCTTTGTAGAATAGTCAGTCAAGTCAAGTTGAGCATAGCCTCTATCAACCTATCCCTCATTCCCTCCTAAGTCCTAATTGGTTGGGAGTTGGCTACTTTTCTTGAGTTTTCTTTGTATTCTTCTCTAAGTCTCTATTTTGAATTAATGGGCCGACCGTATGGGCCCGCCTGCGACTGTCCATCACATTCCAATACATCGTTGTGATAATCTGGTGTCTGCAATTTCTTGCTACCTGCCTTGTCTGGAGAGGTCAAACAATCTAATCTAATTCAGAACAAGTATCCCTTTGGGATGACGTTCCCAATGCAGCTTTTGTCTTTGTGAGGTGGGCTTCATCCAGATTCCAGAATCCAGATAGTCTATAAGATTTTTTTTTTTTTTTTTTTTTTTTTT